GACCCCTGCAGCCTATCCAACCTTCCCCAGTACCTTTCTCATCCCCCACTCACTGTGCTCCAGCCACGCCCCCTTCAGTTCCTGGCACGTGTCAGGCTCCTTTTTGTCCCTGAGCCTTTGGGTAAAAGGGATTATTCAAAAGAGATTAGAAACTCCTTTTGGCAGGAAAGTTTGAGAACTAGGATTGAACACTTTCTGCCTGAGGTGATTCAAAGCTCTGTCTGCTGACTGTAAATACAAGTGGACTTTGGGGTTCTGGGCAAGCTCAGGCACTTGCTTAGAGCCACAGGAGAATCACATTCCCCGGGAACTCCAAGCCAGTGTCCAAGTGAACAGTCTCCTTCCTCCAGGAATGGCTCTGGTTCAGCCCCATTCGTAACAACATCTTTCAAGTTTTTTTCAACTTTGTGGTTTGACCCGATAGGTTGAAGAATTATATACACTGTGAATTTCAACTCCACCCCCAAGGTGTTTATTTGAAAGATTCCGTGGTGATGATTAACCAGGTTTGAGAACCACAGCCGTAGACAGTATTGAGGTGTAAGAAGACTTCAGACAGATTGAGGGCCCTTTTGCCGCACGCGGGTAGTCCTGCCAATCCTCCACCAAAACACCCCCCGCCCCACCATCCCCGGTCTCCCAGGAGCGTTCCTATCCTCGACTCCTCGTCTAACTCCGGCAACCGGGCCTTGCTTCCGCCACAGAGGGGAGACTGGGGCCCGCGGCCGCCCTCGCGCTGGCGCTCCTACAGCCCCCGGATCACACGCCGCGGCTGGGTGGGCGCTGGGTAGAAGAGCGCCAGGGAGACCACCGAGCACGGAAAATGGGCCGGGAGGGGGGTCAGGCTCCCTACCTGCTTCTGCTCCTCGCTTAGCCCATTGATTGCATCGTCCACGGGCAACAGCGAGTTGGCCCGCTGGGTAATCAGGCCGGCGAGCGGCTGCAGTGGCGGCCGCGGCCTCCAGCTCGCCACGCGTCGACCCAGTATCCAAGCTACAGTCGCCATCTCGGCCTTGTCCTGGGAACCTGAGCCCCAGCAGCTGTGAGCGAGTCCTACGGCGCTCCACCAATCCCCGGCTTCGCTTCCGCCACCCAATCGGCGAGGGGGTGGGTCTCCAGCAGCCAATCACCCTCCCCTGTCCGAGGAAGGCCGCGCTTCCCCCGGCCACTGCACCAGCCAATCAGCGGTGACCGCCTGCGGACCGACGCCCCGCGAGGCTGGTGTGCTTGCTGGGGGAGCTGGACCTGCAGGGGTCATGTCAAGTTTGGGTCTTTTTAAAGTGGACGAGTAGGAAGAGTGTCTTCTTTTTTGAGTTGAGGATAAGTATTCCCCCTGCGTTGAAAATAGCAGTCCCTACCTGCAAACATCTGTGGGAAAGCAAGTGTTAAAAAAGCAAAAGGAAAAGCCCCTAATGCCCCTTGCTTAGCAATACATTGTTAAAGCAAATCGGGGAAAAGAGCGCTTGCTCTAGGGTACACGTTGGTTATAACTCAGTGAATTTGCTTTATTATGTAACAAGGTTTGTTGAGTTTGATTGAGTTTTATGGGAAAGGGGTTGTTAAGGAGTTGCTGTCTTCCAAATTATTTAATGTACCTAAGAACAAGAGTCAGGACTTATTTTTAACAGGGGTGGGGTGATGGTGGACCGAACTCAGCTGCTCGGGTTCAGCTGCTTCCTGGTGGAAAGACAAGTGTTGGCTGGAAAGGACGGGTTGCTTTATTCAGAAGGCAACCTGGGGGGAAGGCAGAGTCGTGTCAAAGAACCAACTCTGAAGAGTCCGCTCCACCATGAAAGTTTTTAAAGGGAGAAAGGGGGAAAGCCATTCGCAGTTAATCATTTGGGGAGGGGCTATCAGAGTCTTCCTTATCTTCCACTAAGTGCAGACTGTCCTCTGATTGGTTGGTGGTGGGGTAACAAGCTGCTGTTTCAGGAATCTGGTGCTCAGCCTGAAGTTACCATCTTCCACCTAGGTGGGGCCTTAGTTCTAGCAGAAGAACTCAAAGATATTGTTAGGTATATTCCTGGTTTCTGGAGGAACCAGGACCCTGCTTTATTGTTGTACTATAGTTTCTTGACAGCTCCTCCTTTGTTTCTGCATTCCCTCTTTTTTCTATTTAGCAACTGTTTGAATCTGCCCTTTGGCACTCAGGGAAGGTCTAGGAGGCTGATGCCTCTTTCCTACAAACAATAAACGGGGACACAGAAAGGATTTGTACACAGGAGGGCCTCACAGGGTCCTGCTCCATTTCAGGGAGACAGGAAAGGAAGAATGGTATATGAGGGGAAAGAGGAGAGCTGATAGAATTCGGCTTCTATCCCCTTCCTTGCTTTGCTAATTTCCCTTTCTGTGGGGTGGTCAATGCCCTTGAAGAACTCATCTCAGGTAGTTTAGCGCCCTGAATCCAGGGACACCATTGCAATCCTGCTACTTAGATGTGGAACTTCGAGCAAGTTTCTTGGATCTTTTCAGACTCTGTTTCATCCTTTTTTTTTTGGCCAAGCCGCCAGGGATTGAATCGGGTGCTCTGCAGTAAGAGTGCACAGTCCTAACCACTGGACCACCAGGGAATTCCCTTTCATCATCTTTATTTATTTATTTTTAAATATTTATTTATTTTATTTTATTTTTGGCTGTGTCGAGTCTTAGTTGTGGCACGCGGGATCTTTCGTTGTGGCCTTCGGGCTTCTCCCTGGTTGCAGCACTCGGGCTCCAGGGTGCGTGGGCTCTGTAGTTTGCAGCACGTGGGCTCTCTAGTTGAGGCACAAGCGGGCTTAGTTGCCCTGTGGGATGTGGGATCTTAGTTCCCCGACCAGGGATCAAACCGGAGTCCCCTACGTTGGAAGGAAGATTCTTAACCACTGGACCACAAGGGGAAGTCCCCCCTTTCATCATCTTTAAATGAAAACAATACTACCCATTGCAAGGAGGAATAAAGGAGATTACATATTTAATGACAACACTTGGTGTTCCTTCTTACAGTGCCGCATTCATTAGTCCAAGGTCTCAAACACAGCTAAGACAAAAGCCAGGCTCTGTCAGCTTGTCCAGACCAAAATGTTTTCTTCTTCAGCTCACTGCCTTTCATATCAAAGGTTCCCCCACCCCCAGGTGGAGAAGATTTTCGGAATAACCTGATATAGATTGTGGGCAAGTTCTCTACATTTCTGATGATCTGCAGCCTCATGTTTGCGAAAATCTTCCATAGGCACCTTCCAATTTATCTCTTGGAGCCATTCCTTTGCTTTACTTTCAGGGACTAGTAAATGTACAAGCTGGTACAAGTTTGAATATCCAGGCTCATAAGTTCTTACTGTAAGATGAAATTGTTTAGCAAACCCCAAGGGATCCTGTGAACAATCTGGAAATTCCTTAGTTAAGGCCTTAAGTTCTGTCCTAGTCCAAGGGTGTATAGGTAAGAGCAGGTTTCTCCTTAAAGGGGGTGGCTATTACCTTAGGGCTGTCTTTATCCTTTCCCTTAGACTCAACAAGTTCTTCCTTTGAGATTAGAGGTGGAAGAGCAGAGAGGTCAGCATAGGGGAGCTCAGAAAGAAGAGGATACGAAGGAGCCAAAGGAGGAGAGAGAGGAGGAGAAGCAGTGATGACTTCTGAGGTCTTTTCTAATCTAGTCACCATTTCTGATAATTTCTGATTTGTCTCTCACAATGAAGCCATTTTATCATTCTCTCGTTTTGAGGCTTCCAGGTACCAATTAAAATGTCTCCATTCTAGCTGTTTGATCTTAAGCCGGCTTTTTCTAATTTAGTGTGCAAATAAAATTTACCAACTTAGGTAAGTCGAAAGTGCCCCATTTTGGCCATCTCAGGGACAAATGATTTTTGGTCAGACCTTCCCATGAAGTTAAACGCTTGCAAGTGTCAGTTTCATGGGTGTTATACATAAACCCAGCTGGGGTTCCCATAGGTGGCTATTCATCCGGGAGCTGTTTGGCCCATGAGGCATGATTTCCCATTATTAATTTGGTAGTCTGGTTCAGGTATGAGATATGATCTGAACAATTTTCTGAGGACAGTGTGGTGGACTGGATGTGCACTGCTTCTGAGTCTAGCAGTCGGTTTGACTCTTATGTGTCTCGGTTTCTCCCTGTGACAATCTAAGACTGTCATGGGTGCGGGGAGTGCTAAGTTATCAGCTTCTGTTGCGCCCCACAGATAAGCAGCATTTACTTAATGGTCGTAGTGGGGTTCCCTTGTAGGACCACTGCACATAGTAAGGATTGATCCTCAGACACTTCTGCAAGGTCCTCAGTCACCTGAGGATGCCTTGTGGTCAGGAGCAAAATGTCCCTTTATTCTTCAGAGCTGAATAACTCAGTCTCTCATTTCACTAACAAAAAAGTTCTGTTAAGACCTGATATCAATTTACCCCTTTTTTTCCCTTGATTTAAGCCGAACTTAACAAAAACCAGCTACCTATGTTTCCCTGGACTTCCTGTCCAGATCCCCCTAGGACCCTGCCTAGGAAATTCCTACGTGCCCTTTAAGACAAGTAAAAACCAGCCCAAATAAAATTTTCAGGATCATCACCAAAACAACAAGATCTCAGGGGCTTCCCTGGTGGCGCAGTGGTTGAGAGTCCGCCTGCCGATGCGGGGGACACGGGTTCGTGCCCCGGTCCGGGAGGGTCCCACATGCCGCGGAGCGGCTGGGCCCGTGAGCCATGGCCGCTGAGCCTGCACGTCCGGAGCCCGTGCTCCGCAGCGGGAGAGGCCACAACAGTGAGAGGCCCGCGCACCGCAAAATAAATAAATAAATACTAGCATATCATAACAAAAATTAAAAAAAAAAAACAAGATCTGGGTATTAGGAGAACTCACCAGAACACCTGAGAGATGCTGAGAAGCTGGTGAGGCTCAAAGTACCCATGCTGGTACTGAGTGCCGGTTTGAGGCATCTTCCAGGTGTCCTCTGGTGGCTGTCTCTGGTATCCTGCTGACTACACCAAGCATATTTCGATGAAAAATTAATCAATAGCCAATCTATGAAAGAAATGGAAACTTTTATTTGAGCCAAATCTGAGTACTGTAACCCTCAAATTTGTGTTCCAAGAACTGTTCTGCCTGTTAGAAGTCAAAACACAGTTACATAAGTTTTGTGAGACAGAGCCATACATTAGATGACGTATCACTGACAGTTTACACAATCCAGATCGGCAAGTGCAAACTGATGGGTCGTTGTGACCCCTTTACAAGATCAGGAAGAAATGTTGTCTTTTAAGGCGTTGCCTTGTTCCTGCTAGGAGGATGTTGCTGTTTATGGATGAGCAGGTATTTCTGCCAGCGGGGAAGGTTTTGTTGAGGCAAAATGCAGATACACAATGCACAGTAGAGGGGAGACAGGAGGCTAAAGGGCAGAGGAAATTTTTTTATATTTAAATTTTTCTTGTCTTGCCATAAAATGTGAATTTCATTTCACACACCTTATCAAAAATTGTTTGGGGAGAGTCATGAGGCAGGAAGCCAGATTATCCACAGATGAAAGAAGAAATCACAATGGAAATTAGAACATATTTTGAACAGAAAGACAAACAATCAGAATAGGACATAGCAAAATTTGGGATGCTGCTACCTGGCCCTTAGAGGGACAATTTATAGTTGTAAATGCATATACTGGAAAAGATAAAAATTGAAATGGAATTACCTTATCTTCTATTTTAAGAACCTAGAAAAAGAACAGTAAATTAATGGGAATTCCCTGTGGTTAGGACTTTGCATTTCCACTGCTGGGGGCCCAGGTTTGATCCCCGGTCGGGGAACTAAGATTCTGCAAACCACGTTGCATGGCCAAAAACAAAATAACAAACTTGTTGTGATAATCATTTCATGATGTATGTAAGTCAAATCATTATGCTGTAAACCTTAAACTTATACACTGCTATGTCAGTTGTATCTCAATAAAACTGAAAGAAAAAAAGGTGCCCCATGACCTCCTGCCTGCCCAAGGAGTGGCTCAGGAACTAAGATCCTGCAAGCCATCCATCTTTCACACACCTTTCATTTTTTCTAAATCATTCATTATGGTGATTATCTGCTCAAAATGTATCAGTGATTCCTTATTGCCTAGATTCACGGTTCTCAGACTGTGAAAGGCATCCCTAGACAGCAAGCTCACTGGGATGCCACGGGATAAACTTCTGGGGGAATCACAGTGATACATGACATGTTAGACAACATGTGAAGTACTAGCCCAAAGTAGGTCAGTTTCAACATTAGGTCATGCTGTGTTCCTCTCAGTGTCAAACAGGATAGGAAGGTGGTAGTGTCCAATTTGATTCCAAGGCTTGAGAAATTAAACTGTGCCCCACATCCCATTAGTAAATAATTGTAGTTATTTAAAAATAAAAATATTTTCTTTAGATTTATTTGTATTATTTTTTCAAATACCTACTAAAAATAGAACTTTTAGGTATTTAGAACTTTTAGGTATTTCTTTTGGTGTGTCATAAAATATTGAGACACCAGGAGCATCATGAACTGAGACAGTTTGTAAACTTCTGGCCCGGATGATAAAAATCCACACCTCCTAGCTTGCATTTAAGTTTCTTCAAAACGTCTAGTAGCACCATGTACTTTCCACTCCCATTATTCCCTGGCTCAAATCTTTCTCCAGTACTTGCCTGTTGTTTGACCTTGGGCAAATCCACTTCATTTCATTAACTAATTGCATTAATTAATTATATGGATTAATTTAGTATAATTTCTCTGAGCCTTTTTCTTTAGCTATAAAAAGGGTTAATAGTGCTTACCCTGTGTGACTGTAATGAGGATTACATGAGAATGAACATAAGGAGGAACACACATAAACATCACACGTGGCATATTGCAAGTGCTCGGTTAAGTGTCAGATATAATCCCCTCTCATCTTTTTTTTTTAAAAAATATCTTGGCCGGGCTTCCCTGGTGGCGCAGTGGTTGAGAGTCCGCCCGCCGATGCAGGGGACACGGGTTCGTGCCCCGGTCCGGGAAGATCCCACATGCCGCGGAGCAGCTGGGCCCGTGAACCATGGCCGCTGAGCCTGCGCGTCCAGAGCCTGTGCTCCGCAAAAAAAAAAAAAAAAAAAAAAAATATCTTGGCCGTGCCACATGACCTGCGGGATCTTAGTTCCCTGACCAGGGATCGAACCCATGTCCCCTGCAGTGGAAGCACAGAGTCCTAACCACTGGACCACCAGGGAATTCCTCCCCTCTCATCTTGAACCTTCTGAAGAAGCCCAGTGTTCTTACTGAGTTCCTCAAGACTCATCTGGATATCCCCTCAACTTTTTTTTTTTTTTCTTCAGTCTCTCATAATTTTATTTTCTCCTCGGAAGTTCTAATGATCCCCTCCTTGGGTTTGACTGATTTGCTAGAATGGCTCACGGACTCAGAGAAATATTTTATTTGCTAGATCTGGTTTATTAGAAAAGGATATAACTCAGGAACAGCCAGATGGAAGAGATGCATGGGGAAAGGGCGTGAAGCTTCCATGCCCTCTCTGAGTGCGCTACTGTCCCCAAATTCCATGTGTTCACCAACCTGGAAAGTTCTCAATCCTCTAGCTAGCCTCCCTAAATATTACTCTTCCTTCAACCCCAGTTTACCGCTTCGATCAAGCCTCCCCCAACCGAACTAGCTCAGAGTTAACTACTATAGCACACAACTATATCACACAACCCACTGTTTAGTAAACTATTGCCTTTGTTATTCAACTTGTATATCACCTGTGCAATGTTTCACCACATGTACTGTAAGCATTTCTGAGGTTAAGAATGTCATGCTACATTAAAGTTTCCTATAGCGTCTAGCAAAGTGGAGGGTGCAGATCACATTGGTTCACGTAATGCAGGAATTTATTGAGGCTGTAGATCAGAATAAGCACCACAACACCTCCACACGTACAAAAGGCAGATGGAGCAGCAGAGGTCAGAGGGAAGACAAGAAAAGGCAAGACTGCACAAATGCTGGCTGGTGGTGCAAAGCAGCACCGTGAGGTGAAGGCCCCTTGTGAGGCCAGACCTTGAGCAAACAGGATCTCAACACTGGGCAAGATGAGTAATGGAGGAGTTGGGAGAGTTCCATTCTTAGGAGTTAACTAGGGAGGCATGACAAGGAGGAAAGGATCTCACAGCTGAGTTTCCCACCCTTTCCTTCCAAGAAGGAAGTAGAACTTTTGGGGGGACCAGAAATGCCAATTACAAATTCACTTGGGTAAAAATCTTTTAAACGATAAACATCCTGAAAATGGGTAGAAGAAAATATTCAGCCCTTGTCACCAGTGAGAATTATTTAACTGGGTTTCCCTATCAAAATATTTGGGACATAACCAACTGTGTGAATGTTGCATGTGTATGAAGGAAAAGAATTTTAGCCCTATAAGTTAGGGTGGGACGTTACTTGACTTGATTGGGTGGCTCTGGGCAGCCCCAATAATGCTGAAGAGTAGGGGGAGTTGCTGAAGAAATTGGGAGAGGTGCAGAAAAAAATGGGACATGGCCAAAGCCGAAGTGTGCCTAGTTTGACTATGAAATATCGCGGTGCCTTTGGTGGACTGGCGGTTGCGGGGGGGGTGTGGCTGCTGTGGACTTCAGTTGACTAAGGATCCAGGGGGCCAGGTCCAGGATTGGCCGTGCAAAGCAAGAGCAGAGATACACGCATACTTAGGAATGCAGGCAGCTAGTGACACAAACCTGGTGGACGGAGTGTGGCACCCACTGCTACAAACAGGGAACACCACAGAAGACTAGCTAATGTTCCTGGAAGATGGGGTTAGGGGGTGTGGGGGGGGCACTAGCTACAGAGCACCTAATGAGTGGAAGAAAAATATTCTGGGTGAAACTGGAGGCTTGAACTTGTTACCTAGATTAGTTCAATAGTATTCAGTGGATGTATTTAGGTTAAAAGGCTCTTTTCATTTGCCAGTGTTGCAGTCTGAATAGTTACAGAAATATTTATTTTTAAAGTAACACTTTATAAAAACAAAAACAGAACTGATTTAGATTAAAAGCTCCAAGGTGTATTGTTTCATAGGTGTTATTGCTATCTATACCTTCACCCCATTTATTAAACCATTTCAGGTAACTTCCAGTTCGTAAATTTACAGTGAGGTTATAGAACCCAACCAGGATGGGACAGAATGCGTTCCAAGTTACGAGGGGACCGCAGGGCTCCTCAGTGATGTCTCCCGTGAAGCACCTGTGCACCACTGTTTCTTCCCACACGTCTGAATGTGACCTTTTGGCTTCTCTGGCTGTGGCTGGTTTAGTCTCCTGATACTAATTCTGTGCCGCTCTGTTGCCTAGGAGGTTGATCCAAGCTTTCAGGCCCCCTCTCTTGTAGGCCTCAATTACGCATTGTGAGGTTCAGGAGAGCTGGTCAATCTGAAGGCTGGGAATGCTTGCTTAAAGGAGGAATTGCCATTCCAGCATAAACTGCAGAAACTGTTTTCATTCTGGGGATGGTGAGTCCTAGAAGGTCATGGCCAAGAAGCAGATGTCCTAAGGGGCTTCCTCTGAGAGTTCATCCCCAAGAGGGAGCCATGTGGCCACATGCTTTTTATCACATTTCTAATAGCTGCTCCATTTCCTCAAGGGCTGTTGTAAAATCATTTACTTGACTGTTACATAAGGTCTGTTGTTCTAGGAACTGGGCCCTCTCTTCTTCTTTTATCTTCAACGTTACCTTTAAGGCCTGCATGGAAAGACATTAAAAAAGACAAAAAACAAAAAACCACCAAACTCTGACTCACAGGAAAGACAATACCATAACCAGAACATTATGCTTCTGTTTGGGATACTGACAGACATTGTCTTTTCTATCTTAGGTTTGTTTATCTGTGTTGGTTTTAGGAATTGTCTCTCTCTACTACAGAGTCTGTTATCTCAACTGGAGCAATGAAATCCTCTAGGATTCCGTGTAGTATCCCATGGTTCATCCAAGCAATCCAAAGTGGTCCAGACCCAAGAATCGGGGTTTCCTATTACAGGTTTCCCTGAGATATCAAGTTTCTACAGCATGGATTTCACACAGGTGTCAACTGTCAACCTGGAGCCACCTAGCGTGTTGCACACTGCCTCATGCCCTGCAGATGTGAACATTTCTAAGAGTCTTTAGAACACAAAATTAGTTGAAAAAAATGGTGAAATCAAATAAAGTCTTGGAATTTAGTTAATAGTAAGGCATCAATATTGGTTTCTTAGTATTGACAAATACAGCATGATAATGTAAGATGTTAATATTAGGGGAGTTGAATTCTCCATTATCTTTACAACTTTTCTGCAATCTAAAATTATTACAAAATAGTTTATTAAAAATGAATAAAGAGGGCTTCCCTGGTGGCGCAGTGGTTGGAAGTCCGCCTGCCGATGCAGGGGACACGGGTTCGTGCCCCGGTCTGGGAAGATCCCACATGCCGTGGAGCGGCTGGGCCCGTGAGCCACGGCCACTGAGCCTGCGCGTCCGGAGCCTGTGCTCCACAACGGGAGAGGCCACAACAGTGAGAGGCCCGCGTACCACAAAAAAAAAAAAAATGAATAAAGAGATAAATAAGAAAGAGCCCTCCACAGATCCACCTATTGTGGTAGGAAATGGTAATTTTGCCTTGCGGAGATGTCTGCCTCTCACCTGTAACTCCTCCATCTGCTTTTTGGCTGTTTCGTTAAAAAGCTTCAGTTCATCTTGCAAAGTTTCTAACAGCAGCTAAGAGAAAAGTACAAGGTAGTAACAAATCTTTATTGAAATGTGAGAACTTTCTTCATATAAACTAATCTCTTCATGGGAGTTGAATTAGATGATTGCTAATATCCCATCTGTTCAGTCACTGACTGAGTGTCCGCAAACGTGCTGGGCTCTCTCGTGGGCCTGGAAGAACTGAGTCCACAGCATGGACAGAGAACCCCACCTCCACGTGCTCTGTGCTACACAGGTAATATGAACGAAAGGCAGTAGCCACTAAAGGGGTGACAAATCGCCTGGGGGAGCTGAGGAAGGCTTCCATACCTAGTATTCTAGGATTCTAAGATGACAACTGATCTTCCTGGGGAATAGATCACAGAAGCTCAAAAGGCTTTAAGTGCAAACGATTGCCCTCTACTTCAGGGAGGGAACCAAAGAGAAGACAGATTTAATTCAGGCTGGACCTTTGTAAGACACAGTTCTCAGCAAAGGAATAAGGGGAGAAATTTGGTAAAGCAAAGAATAGAGAAACCAGAAAGCTGTCTCTACGGTCCACCCTGCTATGGGTTTTAAACTAGTACATTCTCAACTTAGACTCCCTCATATTTGTAAGCACAAAGTCACCTTCCAAGTAAAATATGCTACTTTGAGTACACATCCACCACCCTCTTCCACTACCCTGGATAACCGAAGGCTGCTTCGTGGGCTTTGCCGAGCACACGGCAGAGACCTGCTTAGATCTGCAGGGCCTCACGCTCACGGGGCCTTCGCCCACTCACACCCACACCCTCACCATCGAGTCCATGTGATCCGTGGTGGAGTCTTGCCGTGCCGCCAGGGTCTCACTGCCTAAAACCAGTAAATACAACAAAGTCAGCCTTGCCTAGGGAACTGCAACTTAAAAGAAAATTAAAATCCCTCCACAGGAGTATTCACGAGGGAAACTTCTCTAAGCATCTGAAAACTCTCTCCCCTGAGTTCTCACCTTGGCAAGGTCACCCACGCCTGCCCTCCAGAGCTGGATTTTATCTCCCCTCCCTCTCTAGGTATGGATATGGCCAAAACTTCATCCTGCTTTCTCCTCAGCTCAGCGGAAAATTTGTTCAAAAGAAATGTATAGGTTGTATTTTTTGGTTTCGTTAACAATACACAAAACTATTTTTAAAAGCTTTTCAGGCCTTAAAAAATTTTATTATTTTTGGTAAAAACAGTGCATACACGTAGGAAATTAAAATCATCCAAAAACGTATATGGTGACTATCAAGAATATATCCTAAAATGCACAGGTTAATGGCAGCATTCAAAGTCAGCACTCCTTCATTCAAACAAGCCTGGGCTCCTTCCCGGGGCATTCTCAGGCTCCTCGATTCAGGCTCTCTTACAGTCCTGGGGTAACCCCTTCTTCCGCTTCCTCTCTGCGACAGACTCTGCCCTCTAGGGACAGGCTCAGAACAGGAATCACATTTTAAACACCGTGATTCTGCTAACTAGCCAGCTTTACGAACCCTTTCAACAGTATTATCTCTCTCTCCACCTGTGAAGGTTACCTGTATGCTATATCCCTTGAAAGAAAGAAAATATTTCTGATGTATTTGCAAGATCATACCTGTCAGCACCAAACTAATGGTATAAAGTGTTCAGATAAGAAAGAGAGAATCCTCTCTGCACAACCATCCGAAACTCCGCTGGGCAGGCAAAGTCAACATCACAACAGAACAGAGTGGAGCTCCCCCAAATCTTCAGGGCTTTGCTAGGCAACCCCTGCACTGACTGGGTCAGCTGACACCATGCCAGACCCCTGATGCACAGTCCAGAATCACCCAGGAAGGGGCACATGCACTGACTCCTTTGAAGGCAGTTGTGTGCCATCTCTTACCTGGGTTGAGGCCCTTGCTCTCCAAAATTGCCAGACAGCTGTCCTGAAACTTCTCCAGCAGCTCCACTTTTTGGGTCAAGTCCTTCAGCTCTCCCTGTAGGGGTGCCATACAGACAGGTAAGGCCTGCCCCATTCCTCAGGGGCAGCCACAGCGCAAGCCTGGCATCTTCTCCTGCGCTCAGGCACCTGGCGTGGTCCCTCAGGATTCCACATGCATCACCCAGTGCAGCTGATGGCAGGTCTGGTGGATCGCTTACCTGAGTTTCAATCAACTTCTGGTGCAACTGCTTGTTGACGGCCTCTAAGAGCTGGTTCTTATCCTTGAGCTCTTCCTCTGATTTCTCTTTACTCAGTGGCTTATAGCTGTAATGATAATCGTACTTAGATGAAGTGGTGGAGGGATTAAGAGTATGGGCTGGGCTTCCCTGGTGGCGCAGTGGTTGAGAGTCCGCCTGCCGATGCAGGGGACATGGGTTCGTGCCCTGGTCCCGAAGATCCCACATGCCGCGGAGCGGCTGGGCCCATGAGCCATGGCCGCTGAGCCTGCGCGTCTGGAGCCTGTGCTCCGCAACGGGAGAGGCCTCAACAGTGAGAGGCCCGCGTACCACAAAAAAAAAAAAAAAAAAAAGAGTATGGGCTATGGAGTCCGGTTGGTTTGAATCCTGGCATCATCACATAGTGGTATATGACTTTCAGGGAGTTGTGTAACCTCTCTGAGGCTGTTTCCTCATTTCTAGAATTAATACACACATTTCATAATATTACCATGAAGGATAAGAGAGAATACATGTACAATTCTTAGCACAGCTACTGACACAAAACTTTTAATAAGTAATAGCCATAGCCCAAGCAGTCTTGAGGGAAAAAAACTGAGCTGGAGGAATCAGACTCCCTGACTTCAGACTATAATACAAAGCTACAGTAATCAAGACAATACGGTACTGGCACAAAAACAGAAATATAGATCAATGGAACAGGATAGAAAGCCCAGAGATAAACCCACGTACCTATGGTCAACTAATCTACGACAAAGGAGGCAAGGACATATAATGGAGAAAAGACAGTCTCTTCAGAAAGTGGTGCTGGGAAAACTGGACAGCTACATGTAAAAGAATGAAATTAGAACACTCCATAACACCATACAAAAATCGACTCAAAATGTATTAGAGACCTAAATGTAAGACCGGACACTATAAAACTCTTAGAGGAAAACATAGGAAGAACACTCTTTGACATAAACCACAGCAAGATCTTTTTTGATCCACCTCCTAGAGTAATGGAAATAAAAACAAAAATAAACAAATGGGACCTAATGAAACTTAAAAGCTTTTGCAAAGCAAAGGAAACTACAAACAAGACGAAAAGACAACCTCAGAATGGGAGAAAATATGTGCAAACAAATCAACGGACAAAGGATTAATCTCCAAAATATATAAACAGCTCATGCAGCTCAATATCAAAAAAACAAACAACTCAATCAAAAAATGGGCAGAAGACCTAAATAGACATGTCTCCAAAGAAGACATACAGATGGCCAAGAAGCACATGGAAAGCTGCTCAACATCACTAATTATTAGAGAAATGCAAATCAAAACTACAATGAGGTATCACTTCACACCAGTCAGAATGGGCATCATCAGAAAATCTACAAACAACAAATGCTGGAGAGGGTGTGGAGAAAAGGGGACCCTCTTGCACTGTTGGTGGGAATGTAAATTGATACAGCCACTATGGAGAACAGTATGGAGGTTCCTTACAAAACTAAAAATAGAATTACCATATGACCCAGCAATCCCACTACTGGGTATATACCCAGAGAAAACCATAATTCAAAAAGACACATGCACCCCAGTGTTCAATGCAGCACTGTTTACAATAGCCAGGCCATGGAAGCAACCTAAATGCTCATCAACAGACGAATGGATAAAGAAGATGTGGTACATATATACAATGGAATATTACTCAGCCATAAAAAGGAACGAACTTGGGTCATTTGTAGAGACGTGGGTGGATCTAGAGACTGTCATACAGAGTGAATTAAGTCAAAAAGAGAGAAACAAATATTGTATATTAATGCATATATGTGGAACCTAGAAAAATGGTACCAGTTTGCAGGGCAGAAATAGAGACACAGATGTAGAGAACAAACGTATGGACACCAAGGGGGAAAAGTGGTGGTGGTGGTGGTGCTGTGATGAATTGGGAGATTGGGTTTGACATACATACACTAATATATATAAAATAGATAACTAATAAGAATCTGCTGTATAAAAAAATAAATAAAATGCAAAAAATCAAAAAAAGTAATAGCCATTATCATCATCAATATTAAGCCTTTTCAAAGTTCTGAGTCCTTGATAGTATTTTGTCTTCAGAACTTTTAAGTCATGCCCAAATAACAGATGTGGAATTAAAACCTATGTCTACAAACTTTTCAGCTCATGTTATTTCTGTCTGCAGGATTGCAAAATGTCCAAGCAAGTCTCAAGCAGAGAAAGATGGATCCTCCTCCAGAATTTCAACAGCAGCAGCGGCGGCAGCAGAACACTCATCTCGAACTCACTAACCACACGCAGGCTCTCCCATCCTGAGGGCTTCCCGCTCCTGCCGATGGGCCATGGCTAGGTTCGGGCAGTGGTCCTGGCATGGAGCCCCCAAACTCTTGTCTGGTGCTCAAGATGGTAGCATCACTGATCCTTGCCCTGACAATGGTTCTCAAAATCGGCTGTGCCTCAGCCCTGAAAATCCCATCTAGATTTCTGGGGCGGCATCAGACTCCAACACAGTAAAACAAGTCCTGTGACTGATTCTGATGTACAACCAGGATTGAGCTCCACTACCCTAAAACGGTGGCCAGGTTTCATCTACCCTGATGCTCACCTCTTCCTGATGTTCCTCCTGGTGGCAGTGTCTGTAGCTCTCAGCTGCCTAGAGAAGCAAAAACAAATCAGGATGTTAACTAGACTTACTGCGGTGATCATTTTGCAATATATACAAATATCAAATCATTATGTTGTACACCTGAAACTAACACAATGTTGTATGTCAACTATACCTCAATTAAAACAATAACAACAACAAAGAAATCAATCAGAGAATCACGGTACTGTTATTACTTTTTTTTTTTTTTTTTGTATTTTTGGCCAGGCCGTGTGCAGCATGTGGGAGTTTAGTTCCCTGACCAGGGATCGAACCCCGTGCCCCCTGCAGTGGAAGCACAGAGTCTTAACCACTGGACTGCCAGGCAAATCCCAGACAGCACAAGCTTGAGAAGCTCTGAGGGCCCATGCACTTGTGTGTCAGCCCAGGCGACTGAAAAGAGCTTATGAATAGGGCACGGGCTCCCCTCCTGACCACCTCAACAACCTGACAGACCTGCTTCGGCTCAAGACAGTGTGGCTACTTCATGTCAGCCTCACTCACACGGGAGCTGAACACCAGGTGGAGGGACACACATGCACACTACACTGGGCTGGACTGCTCAGAGCAGCAACCTGGGCTAACAACTAGGCCCCACCCGCCACGACTACCACTTAAGGCTGGTTTGACTGCACTGCTGCTATTTGTACACTCAGAGCAAATGCTGAGAGAGGAAAGAATATCTCTTATTGTAACCCTGGCTGTGCCTCTTCTGACCTGATCAACACAGAGGGTTCTGACAAACAGGTCAACAACGCTGCACTGCTATAGGCCACTGACTACAGGCCAATCCTTCAGATACCCTGTGCCCTCAAAAGCCCTAATTCTTGGTACTGAGCAATTTCTAGCCCAATGTTCTAATTGGATACCGATGCTCTGACTCTCACCCATTGTCTCGTCTTGGTTTGATGATTTTTGTAACATCATTTTCTGAATCTCCTAAGTGAGGTCGGGAAACATCGACTTCTTTGGACCTAACAGGTAATAGGCTCTTAGAAGTGGTTCGAGCTTGTGCATCTGCAAAGGAAAACAAGAGGGTGGAATCCCACGCATCATGACCCAACAGTGCAACTCTATAAATTCGGAAGAATAAGACCTCTAGACCAATTGGGAATAGAAACCAAAATTCTTTAAATGTGACAGTACAGTGTGTTTGAGGGTAGCCAAAAGCTTGCTGATACAGCAAACTGAATGGCCAGAGGGTATAGATGTGAAAGTGGAGATTCATACAGCAAAGAGGATGAGAGGCAGTGTGGCCGTCAGCAAGGCAGAACACAGCTGAGTCCTTCGTCACACAGCAGTTGAAAGGAACTATGTCGTTCAGCTCCTAAGCACTCTGCCCGCTCTCCTAAGGCTACACTCAAGCTGCTTCGAGTTTCGGCAGTTGCTTAGTTGTTTTGACGAGACTGGCTCCCTAACTAGTACTCTAAGAGACATCTTTGTGCCCCAGCATCTAGGAGAGTATCTGGCATATTAACAGAGGTTCAAAACCTACTTATTGAATAAATGAAACACGTCAGTTTCATGAGTTATTTCACAGACCATCTCTAAACTAGCTCCTCTATTCTTCTTTCCCTCTTCCATGCTGACTGCCTTTACCACCAGCCCTTTTTTTTTTTTTTTTTGTAGTATGTGGGCCTCTCACTGTTGTGGCCTCTCCCGTTGCACAGCAGAGGCTCCGGACGCGCAGGCTCAGTGGCCATGGCTTACGGGCCTAGCCACTCCTCGGCATGTGAGATCTTCCCGGACCGGGGCATAAACCCGTGTCCCCTGCATCGGCAGGCGGACTCTCAACCACTGCGCCACCAGGGAAGCCCCTACCACCAGCCCTTTTAAACTGTTTATCCATCGTTAAGTTTAGAGGCTCGTTAGGTACCCTGTTTGGTATTCTGTTCCGATCCTGCTAGGCTACTGCCAGATAACCAGAGAAATGGCCCTGACATGACATTCTTCTTCGCCAGAGGAGAGCATTTCCCCCCTAGCCCTTATGCCAGACCTCTACCACACAGCCTCTATCGAATCTTTCTACCACTTACATTCGATAGCAAATTCAAGTAACTTGTTCTGGAGTTAAGCACGCACCCCCAGCACATGCACAGGATTCTTCTAGTTTATACTAACTTTCACTTTGTTCATTGTATAACGGCTCCTTTAAGCTTGACCTAAATTAAGAGCCATAACAATTAAATCAAGCTGAAGAAATGAGGTACAAAGCACTGGATCACAGGGATTAGGAAACTTTGTGTTTGATAAAGATTTATTTTGATGACTCTAGCTGCACAACAGTTTGGAATAAATATGATTTCTCAGGCTAACAAATTACTTCATTTATAGGTACACTCAATCGGCACTTACATCCTATTTTCCCCTCTTACCCACAAAACAAGTATTAAAAAGATTCTTTCTGAGGTCTCTGTTGGAAGTAAAAGGTAACTTTGAGTGCATGAATTTACCTTCTCCTCTCTCAAGTATTAATAAGTTACACACAATAAGAAATCTATCTCATGCAAAAAGGTGTCCATAGCAAATTGATCTAAATTAACACTCTTCATTGACTGGAATTGGTTTCAATAACCCATATTTGTTAGATCCTAAGGACTGCATCATAGGAAAAATTTAGCAGGATTTAACAAAGACTATCTCCTTAAAATGAGAGACGCGAAGGAGGGAATTGGATGGCTGGTGTCAAGGAAGGGAAGACTTGTTTTTCACCGTATATCGTTTCCCCACTTTGGATATTTATTTATTTTGAATGTTACCTATTCAAAAAACTAAAAAACAACCAACCCATGCCTAAAATCTAAAATCCTGAGAGGCAGCCTAAAAATGTTAAACTATTGAAGTTACATATGATCATAAAGCTGGGACAAGGAAAAAAGCAAAGAGATGAAAACTTCCAACTTGGCTGGGGAGATGCCAGTCGCTCCCCACTGAACGAGAGACTGCTTTCTAAGGGAAAGGCAGCTAAGACCGGCTCCATTTCCTCCATCAACTCCTAGGTGTTGCTGATGCCAGAATTGCCACTCAGGTGTTCTGAAGCAACATAGGACAAACAGAACCCTTTGAAGCCTTTGAAGTAAAGCCTATTTACTTCAAAGGTCAATCCTGCTACTGCCCATCAGTCAACTGCATGGAGTCATCTGGGAAGGGATCTTAAATAGCTGCTTCAAAATCTCCTACCACAGGTTCTGATGTTTGAAGCCTATTCTGTGCTATAATCTCTAGATTAGGCAGCTCAGCAACTGCAGACATTAGGGGATGACTTTCAGCCGCAAGCCCAGTAACACAAAGCAAATGGCAAAGCAATCAAACACTGCTTTTATTTTATTTATTTATTTATTTATTTAATTTTTTAGTTTTTGACCACGCAGGGCATCTTGTGGGATCTTACTTAGTTCCCCGACCAGGGATGGAACCCAGGCCCTTGGCAGTGAAGGTGCGGAGTCCTAACCACTGAACCGCCAGGGAAGTCCCAATCATTACTTTTAACCATCTCTCTTCTCCCAAGATTCTCGAATACTAGTTAGACCTGACCCTTCTCTCTCACTTCACTCAACAAATGTTTACTGAGAATGTACTATATAAGAGACACTGTGCCGTTACAAATGTGAACCAGACACAGTGTGAACCCTAGTGCTCCCTAAGTATCCTGCTTTTCATATGACTCTCTCCTCTTCTCCCTGACAATAAACCCAGTCCTTCCGGATAGCTCGTCTGGAAATAAAACAGGTAAATGTTTAAAAAGGGATTCCTACCTTAATGGGAATAATATTGTAGAATAATCAACAACTTAAATCTACTTGGTGAATGCAGCAGAGTTCGGTTTGGGGGAGCAGGGGTATGGGTCAAGTCTAAATTCCCACCACGTGGCCCTTCCCCTAACTCCCATCACAAGCCTAGACAGCCCGGTTCTAGGGGAGTTAGAGCAGGATGTCAGAGCCGATAGAACCCCCTCCCTTGCCGGAGCCCTCCACTCCCAGCCACCGATTTGATCCCCCATACTCCTGGCTTGACCACCCGGGGCCAGTTCGCAATGCCCGGGGGCAGGGGGGGCGTGGACACCCACCTGCGGACAGGCCGCTGCTCAGCACAGAGGGGGGCTGCAGGGTGTACACTGTCTTGACCACGCTGGTCATCGTAACGAGGCGGCACGGCTGGGGCCTGGAAGGTACAAGGCGAATGTTACCCAGGAGTGAGCCAGGGTGCCCGAGCCAGGCGGAGGGCCCCAGAAGAGCGCGACTCGGGAGAGAGAAAATCCTCCATTCTCAGCCCATCCCATCGGCCTCCCACATCCAGCCCAGTCTCCCGCCCCGGGAGAGCCGAACCCAGACGCCTGCTGCTCCTGCCCGCAGGCCTCGTCGCTCTGGTTCGAAAGATGCTCGGCAATAACTGCCGTACCGCAGACCGGGTCTGCCGCCCGGGTTTCAAACGGAAACTTCCGGTGGCCGGGCGGGAGGGCTGCGATGCGCTCTCTGTAGGCGGCCATGTTGTACGGAATGCACGGCCGTGGGCGACGCCTTCGGGGGCTGCCATGCTGTACGGAAGATCCGAATCGAGGCAAGAGCGCGAGCTTCCTGGCGGTGGATGTGGAATCCCCCAGGTCTGGGCGGGGGAGGGGAGTGATGCGCTTTGCCGGCCTAAACGGAGCTATGAGACATTGGCGTCTTATTCCGGCCTTGGGACGCAAACGCGGTCACGTTTAGAGTCCATGTCACAATCTTTCTCTTTATTTGGTCTATGATTGTTAGGGATGGTGCATGATACCGGATAGCCAGGAACACAGAGAGGGATGGGCAGGAAACTACACGTTACAGGGTGGAGAGTGGCAGGTGAGGTCTGGAGAGGGTCTGTGAGCTGAAATACCTGCAACACCTACCCTCAGTCCTAACTTTAATAACACTTATCCAGAATTTAAGCGGAGATTCAAAGCTACTCCTAGGGAACAGGGCAGAGTTCTTAAGCAGTGCACTAATTCATTTCGCTCAACAAATATTTATTGAGCACCTGCTATGTGCCAGACCACAATTCTAAGTGGGCAGATGGGATGAGGGCAGCAAGTATCAACACTAACCTGGGTTCTGCCCTCTTGGAGTTTACAATCCAGGAAACAGCAAACAAATAGTCACACAAACTTGTCAACTGTATCTCAGTTAAGCTGGAAAAAACCCAAATAAATATATATTCATCAACTATAGTAAAACTATGAAGGGAAAGTACAATGTGCTATGAGAGAAAAGCAGGGAAACCTAGTTTAAATTGCAGAGTCATTTTTTTTTGGCTGCGTTGGGTCTTCGCTGCTGCACGTGGGCTTTCTCTAGTTGTAGCGAGTGGGGACTACTCTTCCTTGAGGTGTGTGGGCTTCTCATTGCGGGGGCTTCTCTTGTTGTGGAGCACGGGCTCTAGGTGCGCGGGCTTCAGTAGTCATGGCATGCGGGCTCAGTAGTTGTAGCACACAGGCTTAGTTGCTCCGAGACATGTGGACCAGGGATCAAACCCGTGTCCCCTGCATTGGCAGGCAGATTCTTAACCACTGTGCCACCAGGGAAGTACCAGGGAAGACATCTTAAGTGATGTTTGACTGACAAAAATGAGTAGGAGTTAATCAGATGAGCAATGGGGAAGAGGAGAGCAATGCAAAATCCCAAGGTAGGAATGGGCTTTTCCTAGAGGGACTGAAAGATGGGAGGCGAATGGTACTGATAAAGCTGGAGAAATAAGTCAAATGGCATTCTTTGTAGGCCAAAGGTAAAGAGATTTGTAGTCCAAACGTAATGAGATTTTTTCTCTTTTTTTTAGATTTTTATTCTTAAGGGTAATTAGAAATCACTGAAGTATTAGAGCAGGAGAGTGTCATTCAATTTTTATATATATATATATATATTGGCCACACTGCGCAGCTTGTGTGATCTTAGTTCCCAACCAGGGATCGAACCCGAGGCCCTGGCAGTGGGAGCGCCAAGTCCTAACCACTGGACTGCCAGGAATTCCCCAATTTATATTTTAAAATGTTCACTCTGGCTACTCCAAGGAGAATGGATTGAAGGAGAGCAAGAGCAGAATTAGAGAGACAGTTGGGAGGCTACTCTCATCGTTCAAGTGAGAGATGATGGGGGCTTGGCCAGGATGGTGGTGGTGGTAGTGGAGATGGAAAGAGGCGGACACATTTAAGACAGCTTTTGAGGGCAGAATCTCAGGACTTAGTGCTAGACTGTATGTGGAGGAAGGAGGAATAAGGGGGAGGGAGATCTTAAGGATGACTCCCAGGCTTGAATAATTGTGTGGATAGAGTCATTATTTTGTGTTGGGGAGAGATTTAGATTTCAGTTCTGAACACGGCAAACCTGAAATGCCTTTGAGACATTCAAGTGGAGCTGTCAAGTAGGCAGTTGGAAATACAAGCCTTGAGCCCAGAGGAGAGTCTGGGTTGGAGATATACTCTTGGGAGTCATGGGTATACATATGTATTTAAAGCTATGATATTGGATGAGATCACCAGGGAAGAAGTGTACAGAGAGCCTTAGGACCAAGGACAGGGATGGCAGTACTTAGAAGCTGCAGTGATTAGAAGGTGCCAGCCAAGACATCTGATAAAGAGGTGTCAGAGAGGTGAGAAAAAAATAAAGAGGGGCTTCCCTGGTGGCGCAGTGGTTGAGAATCTGCCTGCTAATGCAGGGGACACGGGTTCGAGCCCTGGTCTGGGAGGATCCCACATGCCCCGGAGCGACTAGGCCCGTGAGCCACAACTACTGAGCCTGCGCGTCTGGAGCCTGTGCTCCGCAACGGGAGAGGCTGCGATAGTGAGAGGTCCGCGCACCACGATGAAGAGTGGCCCTCGCTTGCCACAACTAGAGAAAGCCCTCGCACAGAAACGAAGACCCAACACAGCAAAAATAATTAGTTAATAAACTCCTACCCCCAACATCTTAAAAAAATAATAAATAAATAAAGGGTGGTGTCTTAGAAGCTAGGAAGAAGGAAGTGGTAAACTGCTGAAAAAGGGAGTGATAAACCATTGAAAATAACTGAAAGGGCAAGCAAGATGAGAATTTAAAAGAACCCATTTAATTTAGCAACAGAGAAGTCATTGGTGTGTACAAAATCCTGCAGTGAATAAACTCATGCATATGTTTTCTCATACACACACAAAAGTCACTGTTGAGTATCAGAAGAGGAATTCTGGTGGAGAGGCTGGAGTGGAAGCCACACTGGAACAAATTGAAGAGTAAATGAGAGACGAGGAAGCAGAGATGGCAGGTGCAGAAGAGTTTGTCTGTGAATGGAGTTAGAACAATTGGGCAATAACTGAAGGTGGGTTGTGGGGGTCAAGGAAGGGTTTTCTTGAAGATGTAGATAATAGTGGGTACATGTGCCTATGGGAGTGAGCCAGCTGAGAGGAAGAAAAGGACGCTTCAGAAGGGAGATGCGATGATCAAAAGAGCAAAGTCATAGAGAAAGAGGCAAGGGAGATGGTACCTAGGTAGCATTTTCAAACTCCTTTGTGCATGTACCCTCACAAAAAATATATTTTTAAAATGCACCCTCTTCATTTTTAGTTGATGCCTAAATTATTTCATAATTTTAAATAGTTGTAAAGGACATATTTTCTGCTTGTTGTATATTGTGTATGCTCTTTATTCATTTCTAAACTTTTTTTTTTCTCTTGGTGTTTCATTTTGGATAATATCTATTGCTATGTCTTCAAGTCCACTAATCCTTTTTTTTTCTCTAAAACGTCTAAACCGTTGATCCCATCCAGGGATTTTTCTTTTTTTTAATCAGACATTTTAGTTTTCATCTCTACAAATTCAATTTGGGTATTTAAAATATATATATATATATATTTTTTTTTTCTAAGTCTCTACTTAGCTATGTGAACATATGGAATACAGTTATAATAATGTTTGTATGTTCTTGGCTTTGCTCTCTCAAGGACTTCCTCAAGCAGAGCATTCTCAAGTAGTCCTTTTATTTGTTTTTCAGAAAATACTGCAGAGGGAGATGCCAGAGTAGGAGTCAGAATGAAGGAAGGGTCAACTGGGAAAGCGGAGGTTGGGGAGGCGAACTTGCAGACCTAAGGCTCCTTCTTAGGCTGATGAATATGAGGAGAGGAAAATTATGAAGAAGGAAGCTCTTGAAACTGATTCCCTTAAAACTATCTGTGCCCACCTACCTTCTAGAAAGTGTTCATGTCTCTGTGGGAATGCAAGCCCTAGTTGAAGGCCTCTCATGCAAAGCGTGTGAAGCCATTGCTGGGGCCATTACTGCTTCTTTCTTTGTAACAGAAGGGATGGGTTGAGAAGCCAGTAGGAGCACGGTAGGTGAGTTGGGGACTTGGTGCCTTGAAGGTGAGCACATTTCACTCTGATGCCTCCAGGTTTCCTCATGAATAATGAGTTTTTTGTCTACTGAAAGTCGGGGTGCAGGGAGGTGAAGGGCATCTGATGTCTGAAGCAGGTAGAGAAAGTATGAAATGATCATTGCAAAGAATGGAAACTAGTAACTGGAATGGAAGCTAGCTAGGCAGGGCGGAGACTGCAGGTGAGGTTGGAGGTCATGGATTCAGATCTACGTCAGTCTGCCCAGCTGAGTGATATTCGTTAGCAATCCTGAAGCTCTTGTTTGATGTCTGTGAACTTGGTAAAATGTTGATCTTTTCCCTATGTTAAGGTCTAACATGAATAACCACACAGAGGCCTCATGATAACAAGTTTATCAAGGTCCTTCCAGGGCTCTTCAGTGCAAGCTGGCTTGGGACAGCCAGCCATTTACACAGCACACAGTGGCTTTCTTTTGTTTCTCATCTTCCCAGTGAATTGAGTTACAGCTTCTTCTCTTAAGCATAAACACCACTACACCTTGAGTTACTGTTGTCCCTGTGAACAAGGGGGAGGTTAGAAAGTATAAGGAATGTCTGTTTTTCCCACCCCCAAGCAAATCTTTTTTTTTTTTTTCAAGCAAATCTTGATGCATGGCATGGGTGCCAGAGAGCTTGTCATTGCCCACGTGTATTATCAAAGGCCAAGATAAGGCCACCATGGAAGAAAAGATCAGAAACTCTCCAGTATGTCCTCTTTCCTGGTACCCCTCCCCCACTTCCCTGTCTTGTCATGCGCTGGGAGAAGAAGGAGTTAGTTGGAGGGGCTGAGGGCATTTGGCTTATAAATCTCCTGTGAGATGTCTCTTTCAGAATCAGGCTCAAGCTGAGATATTGCCTAAATATCATGGTATGGGATGTGCCTGTAAAATCTAAGATGCTGCCGGTCAATTCAATCTCTAACGTTGTCACCAGAGAGCCTCAGCCATGGAAAGATGGGTTTCCCCATAGTGACAAACTATTCCAAGTTACATTCTTAAAACATACGGTACACATACTCATGCTCTGGGTGTGAGTTCAAGGACCTGTGGCACAAATAGGAGAAATGACCTCAAGTCCCAAATGAGTGTTCATGCAGTGTCTCAGTGTTAAGGAAGCATTTCTTGAATGTTCCAGAGCCATCGTGAATGCTTTGACTGGTTTTCCCTTGCCTCACAGC